CTCAGTTAAGGACAGCAGTCTCCGTGCCCGCAGTGAAGCTGCACACTGCCCTCTTGTGTCCTGAGTGTTCCTTCCTGCGCTGACTCGTGGGGGGGGGCAGCATCAGTGTCCTTTGTCTGGGAGGAAGACTCTGCAAGGAAGGCTGAGATAAAGCACATGGCCTTGAAGCTCTGTGCTGCCTGTGTCAGACACAGTCCTTGCTGCCTGACTGACAGGATTGCTTCCCTGACCCCAGACGAGCCGGCAGCACCTGTGCTCCCTCACTCTCCCATGATCTCCTCTTTCAGACTTCGCAGCGGACGCTGTTAGACACACATCTTGCATAAGCCGGCATTTTACAGGGAGTGCCCGAGACCAGGGGTCTGTACACACCAGACGTGTGGATCTATCACCACAATTTGTTTCCCCCTTTCTAATTAAGTGAGGTTTTGGAGGGGCGTGGAATTTCAGTGCATCGATTTTGTTGAGCTCCGTGGATGCATTTTCTCTTTGCTTGAGTGTTTTTTTTTTTCAGTCTGTGCCAGGCACTTAAAGACACTGCACTAGACCTTTCATTACAAGCCACTGGAAAGACCGATGCCAACTGCAATTTTTTTTTTTTAATCTACACAATCTTTATTGAGACTGCAAACTGAGTCTTCAAATGTCGGCCTTTTAAAAAAGAAAAAGCAAAAAAAAACAGCACACAGATAGGTGGGAGATACACGAACAATGAACTGAATGCTCCAAGGTCTCGGCTTCTATTTTTACCGCCCGAAACTGGAGAAGCTGACATGGAAACAGGAGCGTGTATAATACATTCCCCTACAGGGAGCGACGCAGGAGTCTGCCGAGGGCATTCGCAGAGATCCCCGCAGAAGAACAGCACCGCAGCACGAACTCTTCCAAAATGAAGTCATGTCTCAGCAATGAGAAGACAGGGGGTGGGGGCTTCTACCGTATGTGGGACGGCCCTACTCTACCATATGTGGGACAGGAAGACAATGGGTTCTAATTTTAACTGCAGCAGGAACCTGCCCTGATTGGGGGAGGACAAAGGCAGACCTGGGTGTTCTCTCAGCCTGTCTTTGCAGATCCGTCAGCTCCAGGCAGACACGGGGATGGGGGGTCTGCCTGTAGCCCGGCACCGTCCGCGTGACGGGAGTGGAAAATGCAGTAGCTGCCGGTGCCTGGAGCCCGTCGGACAGGAGCCTGGCAGGTGCTGTGATTCAGGAGAGGAGATACTATGGAGGCAGCGGCACTGTGGGAAAGGCCAGAGGGGTTAGGGGTTCAAACGGGAGACAGGGTGCTATCTTACAGGGTGTAACCTCTAACTGGGTGGAAGTGAGTAGTGGGCTCTTCCTACATCTACCTCAGCCACCTGGACTCTGGCATCGTTAGCACAAGCAGTCACATCTGACGATGATACCAACACGGGGAGAGTGTCAGGGAGCTACACAGAGACGTAGCTGTAGGCATGGTCTGGGCTGACACCCGGCGAATGAAATTCAACGTTTAAGCCCTTGCCTGTGGCAGGAACACACACTGTACAGCTCGCATGGGTACTTCTGCTTTGCAGGAATTCTACACAAAAGACATCCAGGTGCTGATGAAGGTGGAATCAATACAAAAGCAAGTTGAACACGTGGATCCATAGGAAAAAGTGTGGAATTCAAGTTCAGGCAGGATGCCCTAGTCAGATACAGTACATCCATTTTCTAAACGCATTATTGAATACAAGGTCAAGGGGTGGCCAGAGCCTATCCTGGCAAGCAACAGGCACACGCCAGGAGATACCCAGTCCATCACAAGACAGACACAAACACAGGCACATACACTCACAGCTGGGCCAGATCACAACTACCAATACAGCTTTGGGCTGTGGGAGGAAACCCATGCAAACACAGGGCAAACATACAAACTCCACACATACAGCACCCCAGGAACTGAGCCCAGGGCCCCAGCAATGCTGACCAGTGGGCCAGTGTTCTGCCCTTAGTAAGATCCAGTATCGTCTAAAAGACTGTGTTCAGTCTCAGTCGTCACCCCAGCTTTAAAAGGAGTTCAAAGAAGAGCAACAAGACTGATGGTTTCTGGTCTCAGGGGACTGTTGTAAATGCACAGGCAGGGAGTGGTAAATATTTTCGGTCTAGAGCAGAGTAGCTTTGATCCAAGTATCCTAAGAGGCACTGTATACCCAGTAGACTGTTTCACTGTTTCATGTTGAGTGAACAAAGGACATGGTGTCACACTTGGAAACTTTAGGGGAGTTAATTTAGGACAGGGAGTGGGGAGCACTTATTTATTCTAAGACTGGGGGGGTGTTTGGATTTGGCTTCTCCACCGAATTTATGATTCTCGGCCAATTTGGTTGGGGGTGAGACTCTGGGCATCTTTAAGACATATCATTCTGGATGATATTTTAGATTCACTCAGCTACTAAACTACCAAACAAGCAAGTTGGGCCAAAGAGCCCCCTCTCGCCGGTAGACTTTTCTGATGCTCTTGTGATTCACTGTGTGCTGTTAGAACTGACCGCCCTGGGATCGGACAAGCCAGCAGCTTGGAATCGATCCCCACTGTGTTTAGCACTCCCTGACGTTCATAATCAGCAAACTCTTTGCTTAAAGTCAAGCAGTTTAGGAACATTCTTTTATACAGGTGCTTTACTCAGCTTTTATTCTCGATTTATCTTTAAAATCACTCTACTTGCTTCCCTGTGCCAAACAAAGTAGCTGAGAACACGAACACGGGTCAAAGTTCAAGCAGTATTTCTAGTGCTTGTTGCCTGCTGCAGTCTCTCAGCGCTCAGTGGAAATCAGTGCTACACGTTCCTGGGCGCAGGTATCAGCAGCTGTCTGGATAAGCGATTCCAGCTGCTGTGTTTCTCAGGGAGGTTAATATTAGTGTTATCAGCCATGTGTGTTTCTCAGCTGTCATCGTCGGCAAGCCCGTTTCTTCTCCTTAAAACATGGCCTAAGAGAACTGATCGTTCAATTGATTGATTGGCATTAGTCCCGGACACATGCTCGATACTGTGTCAATATTGTTTCAGCTCTTCCATACGAGAGTGATTTAGGATGGGGGCTTGCTCTAATGGTTTCTCGTTCTCTCGCAGACGTCGGGCTCCAGCGGTAACCCATCTGGGCGTGGAGCTGTGGTCAGTCGGACTGCTCGGTCCGCCGGCAGGGGCAGCTCAGAAGCACTGAGACGGTCCCTCACTCCTCCCTGCCTGCCAGCTCTGGCTGCAGCAGTATGTCTCGGCGCTGTCGGATGGGACAGATAAGCCCGAGAGAGGGGCGATCCATTTCCAGCCGCCGGGCTGCACAGACACAGCTGCTCCAGCGATAGTGTCAGTCATCCGCTGTGGACGGGACGCCAAAGATTGGAAACGCGCTCGTGTTTCTTCGTTACTGGCACCCCGAGATGTGGCCTGACTTATTGTCAGCGCTGCCAGTACTGTCAGTCCACTGCCCACATTGCCCTCTCGCATTGGCTTCGGTTCAGTGCAGGAGCCCAGCGACCACTGATCACCGCTGACTGAGCAAACGGGCAGCGAAAATTCACAAAGTCGATCTCCAGACTGGCCGCGCCGCCTCTGCAGCAGAACTGGGCGTGGGAGATACAGAGGTGACGGGCCATGACCGGCTGTGCACAGGGGAGTCCCACCAGCACCGAACCTGGAACACGATGGCGAGCGCAGAAGCGATCCTCTCAGCCCGCGAATGGAGTGGGGAGAACCATGAGACACCAC